AGAATGACAGCGCTTGAGGACTCAAGTACATCTGTTCATCCCCATGGACAAAAGGTTCAATGCCGAGTCAATACAAGGAGGGAGTAATATGCAAAGCAAATGTTGTGCACTTAAGATTGGCTTATGTGTCGGTCGTACAATTTCATATTTCATACTTATATAACCTCTCTATTCACATCGAATTATTCATAATATTAATGCCGAGATCCGATATCCCACATCCAGTCGTTTATAGTGACTTCTCCCATAGAATCAATACCGGTCCAGGGCTCCACTCGGTCTTCGGCAGCGACAGCATCCGGGATCTGGCCTCGTGTTTTCGACTCTTCTTATCAGTGTCAACCATGGGGTAGTCCTTTGCGCTTTTCCGTAGAAGTCCTGAAGGCTGGACACATGCACTCGAGAGACCCACGCCATCGGTTATGGCTTCATACAGGACTTTTCAGCCAGAAATTGTTCCTTGATCATTGTGGTTATCCACAATTGAAATCACAACTTCAATCAAGGGAGAGTAAGCTTGAGCTGGAGAAAAATAAAAATAAAAGTGAATGAAGAAAAAAGGTGAAAAAGATAAAATACCAATTGAAAATAATAAAAAGTAACAACGAGACGGACAAAGAATGACCCCAAATTGGCTGCGCTTACGGAATAATCGCGCTGTTCCCTCCCCCCTCTTCTATCGACACATCCACCGCCCTGACAAGTGACAACTCTTGTCTTGTCACTTCTTACTGCTACTGGCCTACGACTCCATCGCTGGCTGCTTTCTGCAGTCCTGCTCCTCCCACATATATTATTGCTATTATTCTCACCAATATAGTGCAGGTCAAAAGTCCGCGTCCTGATCCTCAGCCCTGTCCACCATTAGGAAAAAAATGATGGGCTTTTCCTGATAGGGGCAGTGTGCTGACCATTCAGCATTTCCCTTGGCTTTGGGTACCCTGTCCATTTCACCTTGTCACTATCCAACCCATTTTCTCCAATTCTTGTCCCCTCTTGCCAACTCTAGAAACAATGATTAATACACATGAGGATCATCAGCAAATACTGTGATTGCTGATTGAAGTCCGATGGATGCCAAGAACCCCAATATCCAGCCAACGGCATGTGCTCCTGCCAGCGGCCACGAGCAGGTCTTACCCATGCTAGGTAAACCAGCTGCTTGGGATTCCGCCATTACTACTACCTCGACTAATTCTGGTGGTACTATCTTTAATAATTATAATCATCCTCATCATCACCACCAACAGCAAGAGCCTCAACTTCTCCATCACCCTTTTGTTGCTGTCTCATCGGCTGTGACCACTACTGTTCCTGCTATCGCTCCCTCGTCATCCGCCTTATCACACAACCCCGACGAATCTGTAGCTGCAGCATCGCGCTCCGCCGACTCGGATTCAAAAAGTCGTCAAGATGTAGGCAAGGGCGCCCCATCGAAGCTTCGCAAGACTCGCAAAACCACCAATGCGTCCAATGGCCGGTCGACGTTGTTCTGGGTCCATACCGATCCGCAGTCGGTCTCAGAAGGAACGCGAGAAGAGACGCTGAAACGTATTCGCTCCCATGTGATGTCGGAGCACAATCGCAAGAAGAGATTGGAGAACACTAAGCGTTACAAGAGCAAGACATGGAAGCATCTTGCGTTTCAGCCTGTTGAGACCACCAGCTCCAATTCCTCCAGCGCAACTGCGGCGTCAGCGCCTGCCCCGAGTTCGGCATTCGAACAAAATACTTCCACCTCTTCACCCACCATTTCCTCCACACAGCATCACCAACGGGCCGAACAGGAATATGATCAAGGTCAACCGCAGATCAAAGAAGAGGAGGGACAGTTTGAGCTTGTTGTCACGAAGAGGACTGGCAATGTGGACAGCTACGGCGTCGGTGCGCCTTCACAGACTCAAACAGTCGGCCGTGTACAATCAAGATCCTCTCCCCCATGGGATGGATTAGGCCAAGGAGGGAAAGATCCCTTCAATACTTTACATACGCCTCTGTCGGATAGGATGTACCGACATTTGCAGCACTGTAAGCCAAATCGTCCGAGCTGAGGATGATGTTGCTTTGTTAATAGTGGATTTTAGTTTTGTGCAATTTGACCCGATTGGCATATCCGTTGCAACGACGATTTGCACCGCGGTTACAGGCTCATTGGGCGGCCCTGGTCCAACATGATCCGGCTTCGTTACATGCCTGTATCTGTGTCGCTGCGTCTAATGCCGCCTTGGAGTCCGGGGAGTTTCCACTGGTTGATCCCGCGAAAGCGCAGACGAGCCCGTTGATTTTGGACACCTTTCATCATCGCGGAGAGACGATCCGTTTGGTCAACGAGAGCTTATCGGACCCGCTTAAAGCCTCTAGCGACGAACTCATTGCGGCGGTGTCGATCCTTCTCACAATCGAGGTATGATATGGCCCATTGTCCCGGCTTTCACAGCCCTACTGACGAAAAAAGATTGCGTCGGGGAATCCCGACTACTTGAAAATTCATCTGGCGGGGTTACGACAGATGGTTGCTATGAGAAATAGCTTTGCTGATGTGCCACCGGATGTCCGCTTTCAGATATCATGGTGAGTCGAGCCGAGCGAAGTTTTTGGGCCCTGACGCGCATGATTGACCCGAACTAGGACCGACATTCGCGTGGCGTGCATGGCCTTCACAAAGCCGATCTTCCCTTTCGTCCGCTACGCTCGCCCCTCTGGGCTTACGCTTATACCACCTAGTAAAGATCATGCTAAAACTGCATCGCGTTTGATTCAGTTGATTGAGATACCCGGCGTCTTTGGTGATGCCATGTCCAAGGCGATATACGACCTGACTGAACTAATCTGGTATGCGGAGTGGATCAAGGGCGATCCAAAGTCGTCGCAGAGCTTTGACGACGAAACGGAGGATTACTTCAATACAGAAGTGCTCTACGTCGAGTATGCCCTGCATAGTGACCGATACACGCCGACCGGTGAAGCAAAGGGAGACGCAACGATTGAGGGTTGCGTCCGGCTGGTGTGCTTGCTGTTCCACAATTCCACCATATGGGAATTCTACCCGGCGATGGGTCCGGTATTTTCGAAACCGATTGTCGGGCTCCGAGTCGCACTTGAAACGACGATCCCGGCCGGGTATTTCAACCTGTGTCGGGAATTATTGATCTGGGTCCTGTTTGTGGGGGCTTGCAGCTCGCGGCTCTTGGCCCGCGAGCACACGTTTTTCATGACTGAATTGACCACGGCCGTGAGGAACCAGGGATTCCACTCCTGGCAGGAACTGCGAGAGCTTCTGCTGGGATACTTTTACGTGGATCGCTGCTACCTGACTTCACTGCGCGAGTTGTGGGACGAGATTCACATTGATGCCGACGCCAGTCGGTTGAACCTGTGTTAATATACAACAGACCCTAATGTATGATACAATGATGAGACATGGTATATACCGCATGATTGACGAATACATTGGCTGGACATATGACATTTTCTTCACACATCCGTAGAATAGCCTCGCAAATGTGCATGTGCCTGAGTAGAGACTCGCAATATATACCTCCCCTCGAAGCAAAACTAAATATAAGCCGACACAACGGAGAAGCGAGGGGAGAAGCCGACAGGGATTAAGTCCTCCCTTCAACCGACATCCCGATCGCCTAGCCAGGTCTAGCCAGGGTCGAACCCGAAGGAGGCCGTACGATCAATAATATAGCACATCCCGAGTCTAAGAATAACAGCTGACACGCATGACGCACATCCCGTTTCATTCCCTGCCCATCATATCGGGTATAACTCGGCCACGGCCCAAAAGCCGAGTTTGCGCCGCACCGAGAATTGACCGTATATCTCTCACGTCCACCATACTCCGTATATGTAACTTGATCATGTCACTACATCGCAGCAAACATCTACAACACTGAAGCTCTCTAAATAATATAATAGCAAGTCAAGAAGATTTTGCGTCAGGTACGGCAGCGCCAACAACAATACCATTAAATCAAAATAAGAAAATCAGAGAGCGACAAAAGTTCGAGTCAACCATCGAAAACCGAGAAATCACCGAACTACTGCTGCCGACCCACCTGGCCACCCCTTCTACTGCCACCGAAGAAGGAAAAATGCCTCAGGTAGGTTACATATAGGGTGTGGTGCCCAGTTTCAGCCCGAGTTTCTGTTTGTTCTTGTTCTTTTTTGTTTTTTACTATCGTGTTGCTGGTGCGCGAGTCCGTCAACGCGCTCCGTTGATGGGATCGACTCGATTAGGTTACTATTGTTCATATGAGGTATACTTACTAACTGGGTTATACTAACGTCGACGATTAAGCTTGATCTGTTGTGGTGGTAGGTTTCCTTACGCTTATGTGCTCTGATCTATGAGACGATTTGGCTGACGTTCGTTCCTAGGGTGTGGTTCAGTTGATTGCTGATGAGGTGGTTTGTTGCAAGTTGAGACTATGCAGCATGTTGTTGACAACCACCGGCATTGCCAACGCTTAATCTGATGGCAAGGGCTGTGCATTGGCCTGGGCCTGCTGCTCGATGGCACTAACTTATTAAAGCTGCACCGGCGCAATGACTCGTGTGGATGCCCGGAGTGATGCTCATACGATACAGTGCAGTGCACAGCATTATCGTCAACACTTCATTATCGACGGCCAACTAAATACAGACTGACCCCGCCCATTGTCAAGACAACAGGCATCATCATTATCCAATCCTGGACGCATTATTTATACCAACGGTCGGAACCAACAGAAGGAAAAGGGAAACATAATATTAAACATGTCCACAAGACCATCTTTATCTGCTGCGGATTCAGAGGTCTCACTTGCTTGGGCCCAGAGTGACCAAGCTCAGACATGAACTAACCAAACAGCAATGATCTTACGAGAATGGGTATCTGAAGCATTAAAAGTCAGGATCGTGCCGTATTGCCGATCCCTCAATCACGCACAGAGACTGATGCAATAGGCGCAACAGGTATAGGCTTCTGCAGCCTTTTCAATATACGATCGCGCTTAGACGGTCTCGCGCTCGGTCTTGGTTCTCCGGGCCTGTCCGGTAGGAGACCAGGGGAAGTGGGCGACGGGAATGACAAAGAAGCTGTTGCTGCTGTCGGCAATACCGGCCAGAGCGTTGTACCAGGCAGTGAAGGCAGCCAGGAGACCAAAGAAACCACCGGCCTTGATGACGGGAGGGTTGGGCTTGCCCGCGCTGTCGCGCTGGATGTAGCCGATACCGAGCAGGAGGAAGGCGAGATCGAGAAAGAAGAACAGGAGGAAGAAAGCCACGGTAGATCTTAGGGTGCAGAACAGCAGGATGGTGGTGAAGATGAACCAGCCCTGCGGATTGTTAGCTGCGGTCGCTGACAAGAGGACAAAACCCGAGCAGAAGAACTCACCATCAGGAACAGACCGAAAGAGTTGTCAAACATGGAGGTGCTGCCATTGTCGGCCTTGACGAGAGCCGACTCGATGTTGAAACCACCGGGGGTCAAGACAATAGCGAAGGAGATCCAGAAACCACCATAAGAGGACAGAGCAGTGGCACCAAAAGTGTTACCGATGGCCATTTCCCTGGACTATGTGAGCGGCCGCGGCAACAAGATACGATCACGGAGCTCGAGCTCCAACGAAGACAGAGAGAACCTACCACATGCCGGCAAGCAACTGAACGAGACCACCATAACCGAAAGCAAGAGCGACGACAATGTTGGGAGCGGTGATGTCGCGAGCACCCATGTTGATGCAGCTCAGCACGAACGTGGTGAGGGCGAAAGCACACAAACCCAGAGGAGCAGGGTTGGCAAACTTGCGCTTCTCAACGGACTTGTACAGACCAGGCTGGAACTCTCCTCCGAAGGGAGGGAGGTTGTACTCGGTGGGATTGGGCTTGGCCAGAGGACCATAGCCAAAGCGAGCAGCGGCCTTGGCCACTTCGTGCTCCTCGTGGGTCATCTGCGAGGTAAGCTGCGGAGCACTGGCATTCTCAGAAGAGCCGTTGATGGTGTTATCCGGACCGACGTCCTTCTCAAGGGCTGCGTTGTGCTCGGCGGACATGGTGCTTTATAAGAACTGTCAGACGATCGCAACTAATTGAAATAAAAAGTGGAATCCAGCTAGCTGGAGCAATGGAGGATTATAAAAGGTAGGTGGAAGGGGAGAGAGACCACACAGCACTGCTGGTTGGGAATTTAAGAGGCAAAATAGAAGCACAGCTATTGACGACAAAGCAGAAGGATCCAAAGGATGAAAGGGAAAAAGAAGAAGAGGAGGAGAAATATATGCTGGATATTATTCCGGAGGGAACCTCTCTTTTTTTTTTTTTCCTTCTTTTTTTTTTACCTCTTCACAGGTAAAAAAAAAAAAAAAAAGAAAAGGACAAAAAAGAAAAATATGGACCAAAATAATTCCAAAGAGGCCAGACCAGAGAAGCACGACCACAACAACAAATGACACGGATCAAAAAGAGCAGGGGAAGGAAAAACAGAGCAACTTACCTGAATCGGGATGAAGGGCCGTTAGTAGGGATTTAGTCGAGGCTAGTCTTAGACGGAGCAGTGAGGACGAGGCACCAGCGCGGAATCAACTAGTTAGATAGTCTCGTAAGTCGAAGCTCGTAAGCAACCTTGCTAGACTAAATATTAAGACTACTGTGGAAAGGATGCGACCCTGGTGGATGAGCACTAACTTTAAGTACTCCGCCCGTCGACAAGGGAATGTGGAGACTGGAGACTGGAACAGAGCGACTGGAAGGATGAATGGGGTGGATGGATGAATGGAAGGAGAGAGAATGGAACTGGAATGGGACCAGAAAACTACGGCTCTTGTTTTGAGGGAAGACGGGGAAATTGGCTCTTACTACTGAATTCTCAAGTCTTGGTTTGGAGGAGGTGATGGGCAGCTAGTACTGGGTAGGTTGCTGTTGTGGAGATGATGATATCGAATAATTGTCATACTTATGCCGAGGGGAAAAAAAAAAAAAAAAAGGAACGATTATGCAAATAATAGTGACGTGCCTTCTTTTCTTCCGAAGGAAGGAAGGAAAGCGGGGAGGACATTAGCTTTGGAGTCTTGGACCAAGTCGATCAAACATACAAACAATATTAGCCCAGCAATCTAGGACGAACGGGGAGACGGAAAACTCTCCAGGATTCCTGGATAAAAGGAAGTTTTTCTTGACCCAGCATGCATTGCTGTGATTGGTTCGAAAGAAACTCACGGGTTTGAGTCCATAGGTACGTGTTTCTAAGGTACTATTTGTAATCCCAAGACCCGGGGATCAACTACAGAAGGGAGTGGAGAGGAATAATCTCCGGGGAAAGAGGCAAATCTGAGAAGATCATCGGAGGGGAATAGTAACACCACAGATGGCAGAGTAGTACAGACAAGAAACATTATTTTTCCCATTCTTCAGCCTACCTTACTCTGCGGGGTTACTTCTGATGAAAGCTAACTCTTGTGTCCTGGCTCTGATGGACTTCTACCGGCCTGCATTCGGATTTGTACCTAGATAGACGAGAGTACGGAGTGGTATCCTGTCAGAATGGACGTGACACGACAATTTAGTAATGCCACCTTACTTGGGGACTCTGGTCTTCTGTCCGCACGCGGCAAGTTTTTGTGCCGGTGATTCCGTCATTGATCTTCCACTTTTCGCTTTATCGCTTTCTCCCCTTACTCGTCTTGTTAATTTCAGATTCTCAATTAGGCTCGAATTGAAGTTAATTTTGTTCTCAGTCAACATTAATAAACCCATCTCGGCCAGGTTTGATGAAATGATGAAACAAAATTGAAACCCATGCGAGGAGCTTTCTCGTAGCTTGACGGTAGAACGGGTTAATTGGGAAACTGTGATGCTCATGGGCCCATTTAGGTAGGCAGGCTGCCGATCTATCCATGATACTTACTTCTATTCCTCGTGCGCATCATCCCCACTAAGCTACCTCGTCCTGTACTCTGTGGTCTTACTTGGCCTGTCCTACATACGAGTTCGCGCTTTTTAGTCTACAGCGGCTGGTGGGAGCGGGACATTAGCCGGTAACCGAGCTGGAGAGCTTGAAGTCGGACAAGGCGATGGTAGGTAAAGCAGTTACTTGTTCCGGTGACAGAGACAAACGACAGAGGGAGCCGTGCACTACTAGGTAGATGCAGCTTAATAGTTTGGCCTTCTCTTCGACAACTTGACAAGCAAACATCATCCCTTAATGAGGATGAGCACCCTTTTTGCCATGGCCTCTTCCAAGACATCTTTTAGCGTTGATTTGTGGAATACGGATCGCCCCGATGGCAAACTTTCCTGCAGCTGCTGAGTTAAACCTCCCCGGTGAGTAAGCATGCACCAAAAGGTACAACCTCATGATACTATTGATGAGCTTTCCCCGGTGGAGGAAAACGCACCAATGACGGATGCGGCTTTGCCAGTATGCTTGTCACACAAGGACGCCAAGATAAGAGTAGATAGTCTGGAACTGAGCTGGCCCCAGTTTCAAATAATTTCATTAGTGATCATCAAAGCCAAACACGTCCAGAGTACACGAACTTGTCCACTTAGGCTACGAGCTCGCTCTCAAACCTCAACTCCGACTCAACAAATAATAACAATATCATTGAACACCTCGGATTGTGGATGTTCTGCCGTCTTCCCGCCCGCCGTTTCCCTCTTGGGTAATTTATCAGCGGCTGAAGTCTGACGGGCCAACCTTTACATGTCAATGATATTATCAGTGACGAATAACTGGATTAGCTTGAGCCCATTGCTTTAGATCTCACGGGGCGGACTTGCTTGTCTTACACTCCTACTACAACCTCTCATGTGTTCTGTATGGGTCACTAATAATATATGGGACTGTCATCCCTTTTTCTCCACGGCTCCATAGCAGGATGAACCAGCGTAGAAGATCCGGCCCATCGCCATCAAAGTACAGCGTAAGAGCAGTTGATACTGACATTAATGACAAGATCATCAAAGGCTTAATCAAAGTACCCGTTTCAAAGCTACCTATGGAGCACAACCGTCGCCAGTCATCACCTCAATAGGAAATGACGGGTCCATCACTATTGTCATTCCCTCGGCCATGGCCGATCGGACGTTTGACCGGCAAGTGTCACTGTTAGTCTGTCACCTCGGTGATTGATTACTAGGTACAGTCTCCGTAACTAGCATGATATCTATCTATTCAAGATATTACTCAAGCCCAGACTGTTCCAACCCTACTAATTTACTAACCGAACCCTGGCATACAGACTACGAAGTAATCACCCAATATTAACAGCATATGAATGTGGATAGAACTAAACACGCACTGGCAGGGTTCGTGAGACCAGCAAATCAACTCCTGTAAGCTGCAAGTCTGCGACAAACCCCTGCATCTTACATACACCGACGCCTACAGAAAAATGGAGTCGATGGGCCTCGCCTACGCAGTTTAGCGGGTCGACCACCACAGCACGGAGACTCGAAGTACGAGGTTACCTTTGCTTTTTTCCTTTTTTTTTTTTCTGTCTCAGATTCAGCCGAATTTGAAGGTATATCTCGATTTCTCGACAAGCTTTCTCGACTCCTGCTCTCAGTCGACAGGATTATGAATTCCTTAGACAAGGGGAAGATTACTTCGGAAGGTAGCTATCGTCTCTTTGGGTATGGAGTACTGGGGAGTACGTAATTGGAGTCGGATTATTTTCCTTATTTACTGGCAAGTCGTGCCACGTTCACTCACAGCAGACGCCAGTCATACAGCTGTGAGCCTGTGGCTAAAAAATTAGACTAATAGCTATTTTGATTAAGGCTGCGTGCTTAGGCGGGTGGTTGTTTGTGGTGGAAATTGGGAGAGAGACAGTGCGCTGTTAAGATTTCTGTGGTCTGATAAGCTTAGGGGCGTGCTTGGATAATTTATCGTGATTTTTACTGTGGGTTGCCTAGCACTTTGCCAGTTACTACGGAGTAGTATTAATGCTGTTGACTTTGTTGTGCTGCTATTTGTAGATAGGTGTTTGTTCCATGTTTATTTACCTTACTGAGGCGGTATTTAGGCTGTTGTCCTTGCTTCCTTCTGTTGTTCAACGAAGCAGATGAGAGGCGAGACTTGTCTCAAGCGCTCCTTTCGAAGTCAATTTCGATAAAGTTCTTGATGCTGAAACTTCAGATTGCGGTCTCCGGCTCAATCTGCTTTTGACAATTGCTTACCTTGGCATTGTTGGCCTGCTGCCCAGTCCTGGGCTTGATTCCCCCTTTTCGAGTTGTGTTGTACACAAGTTACCTACCCTGCCCTGACAGCTCAGTCCGCCGCTGACTGGATCGCTTATTGGACCATATCAAGTGCCAGAAATTGAGGGCTCTTCTCATCTGGGGCAAACCGACTGTTGAGATCAACCTATTGTGCATATTTGATCTTCAAGATGATGTCAGTTCGGCTTTGAATTTTGTCATACTTGAACCCTTGGTGATGTCGAACGAGCAGAGAACCCTCGCTGGCATATCAATCTGCTAGTGACAAATCTCTCCGAAACTTACCCCGGACAGTGAACCAAAGGATCAAAAAGACCAATGGCATTATCCTCGCTTACAATGGCCATAGCGAAATCATGAGAGAGGGGATCGTCGATCTGCTTCGGTACGACTACCAAATAACTGATGTGCTCTTTCCTACTTCGACAGTCAACCTAAGACGCCAGGAATGATTATTGCCTGGTGTGCCGCTATCCAAGACAAAATAGACGCTCTGTGGCTTGGGTATCATTTCAATAATTTAGCTCTATGTCTGAGAACTCTCTCTCAGTCTGTGCAAGGCCACGAGATAGCCACGTTTTTCTTGCTTGGCAACCGCTCTCTTGGGACTAGCATTATGGACTATGGAGTTTACTCTTGGACTGGGTGAGGGTCAGACCTCGTCGAGCCGGCTTCATGCCATGCCAAATGCCGATGGATAACCCCGGAAACAACTGGGGTCTGGGGATAGTACAATAATCAGGACCTGCTCCACAACGGTTTTGTTTATTCCAGGTCGATGATTTTCTCGGTTCGGACTCGGTTACCCTTCGGTTCGGCGGAGCGGAAGACA